TGATGTGAGAACTATGTGTTTCTCAATTATTCCAAATCTGTTTATCCATCTTGTTCTTTTCTTATATGCCTGGTGTGTTGATTTATTCAGTAGCTGAACAGAACCAAGCTTCTTCTCCCTGTTTATGGATTGAAGACGCATCTTCTTTGCACAATCAGCTACCACAGCTGGATGATTTGCAGGAAGCAGTAGGCTTTCCCTTAGGATCCAAACGAGCCAAAGAAACGACGCCACAATGAAAGACAACCCCAATGTTAAAACAAAGGGACCATGATGGAACGTCACCAAGTGGGATTTTCATCTCATCCAGCCGGGACTGGATGAACTTTCCCAAGCCTTCCTCCTTCACCCTGTCGTTCTTGATGTCATCTCTTAGCAGCAGAATGTATACCCTCCTTCTTGAGATTGGTGCTCCGTATTGGCGCCTTAGTGAAGTGAGCATCGAGTCACATGTTACACATTAGAAGGACAATTTCTTGTAAGCAGGAAAGTGCAGCTAAAAGACGGATCTGTGATGACTGTCACGTGGTCGTACCTGACTCAATACTTTGGTTGCATGCAACCCCACAAAGTGCAACACACTAAGTGCTAGAAAGGTGCCCTGCAAGATTGGCCAAGATGAAATCCATCACTCGGTCATGATCTTTGAGAAATCCCATCACATTTTCAAGTAGGATCACCTCAAAGTGATGTATATAGACTTAACTGCACACACACAAGTTTGACGGAAATACATGTGAGGCTAAGAAACACAGGGTCGCATCTTCTTGCAATTGCTCACAATCTTGAAAAGCTGTCTTGCATTCACATCCAACAGGCGTTGGGAACCAGCATGTAAAGCGCTGAACGGGGTGCATGGAAACCCTGCCACATAAATACCAACCTCAGGTCAAAATCGCATTTATTCCGGATGATATCGCACAATTTCAACAAGAAACTGAAGAAGCATGTGTGTGTGTTCATTTTGTTTGACAAGTCGCTTTGCCCTTCATCCATTTCACTTTCTTGGTGAAGACATCACTTCCAAGCCTTAGATGCAGCTAGTGATGAAGTGGAAGCTTGAAAACTTGAGATGCAATAAGGCAAGAAACTGGCGGCAAGAACTTCCGAAGTTCACCTCCAAGAACTTCCGCTTTGGTGCAGAGACTTCGCTGGCTGACCTGTGGAAAAAGGTGTGACATAATTTGCAGCAGCTGTGTTTTTCACAGGAGCTGCTAAGATAGGGGCAGGTACGATAGGCCATCCGCATAGCCGGCTGCTTTGAAGATCATTCCCAGACCAATCCACGGTGTGTCAGCACCAGAACCTAGGAGAGTCATTGCATGTCATTGCACAGCATGCAACAAGTGAAGATGCCCTCTAATTTCGATGAGGGGCAATCACTGGCAAAGGAAAGTTTTGCACCATGTTCCTGCCATGTTTTGATCCACTTAGCCAGTCCTTGGCTCTCTAAAAACTAATCATCCTTTTTGAAGTCTTGCAGCTTGCAACAGCTTGCTGCCTAGATTCCGGACCCGTTGAGGAAGTGACTTCCCATCTCCAAGTAGTCTAGCTGAACTGCTGTATAGGGCGGCTCAGCCATTTCCACATCCTGGGAAAACAATAAGGAAAACGAAATTGCATAGCATTCACAAAGCAAAATGCAAATCACTCCGCCTCCTCATCATCGGAGGTGGTGCTGCTGGAGCTGCTAGAGCTCTCAAAGCGCCATCTCATCATGTCCACATAAAGCTAAATGGCTGCAGGTTTATTCGCAAGAACCTCCTGCAGAACCTCCTTTCCCAAAGACCCGGTTCCAAAGTGGATAAGATCCACTTGCAGCAACACAAGTTTATTTGATATGTACATAGTGACCATTTTCAACATTTTCAACATAGTCGGACCATTTTCAACATGTGTCAGACCACTTTTCAGGAATTGGATTTCCCAGGATCATATGTTGATTCTTTTTCTTTCGGGGTGCGGGGGGTAGTGCGAGGCGTATTCGGGGGTGAAGAAATGCGCGCGTTGAAGACTTGCAGGTCTGACTGGCAAGCTGCTTACCACCCCAAGTACTCAGTGACCCACATTGGAGAGAATGCCTTCGATCTTGCGCATCGAATAACTTGACCATCTCAGACTCCATGACGTACATGTTGGAGACTGCCTTTGCAGCTAGTAGCTCTTTGGCAAGCTTAACCATCCCAGAGCTCAGTGAGATGCCTTTGGAGACGATGCACATCCCTGAAGTCGTTCAGCGACGCGACTTCAAGTCTTCCTCATGCGAGGTCCGGAGACCTCGTTGAGGATGGTCATATATACCAGTCGACTCAGTGACTCCCATTGAAGTGAAACGCTACGAAACGCGAAAGAAGTGATCAGTTCGAAGTGAAGCCGCTACGCTTCGTTCGAATCCGGGGGATCCGCCCGATCCTCCGTGACAGAGAGGGGCGCCACGGTGGTCCACCGGCGAAAAAGGGAGGGCCGAAACAGGTCGCTCGCGCGTGCGGGGCGGAGCTCGCCGGTACACCCGGGGCCAACTTGATGCAGGTGGGGAGTATACGAGGGTGCTTTTAACTATAGAGTTCCTTGAACGAAACAAACAGTGCACCTTCTCGAAAGCATCATCGCCACAATTACAGAAGTTGCCCGTGGTGTACCAGGATCATCCTGTTGGTGTGCCGGCGAGACCGACTACCCGACTCCCTACGTCGGTCTACCAGGTCTCCAGGGTACCCGCGGATGGTAGATGGTGCATTTGAGAAGGCTCACTGTCGAAGCAACGGACTTGGCACTGAAGGCATCACAAAGATCACGGAAAGCCAGCGATGTAGGCCGAGCCGGGGTCGCAGGCAGATCGAAAATTAAGAACTGCAGAATAGATGGAGGGACCCGGCGCAGGATTCAAGACATGTTCCAGATTTTTTTGTTCCAGAATTCTATCTACGGATGATCCTATTATCTTTCAGCTCTTCAGCTTCTACCAGCGATCAGGTGTAGCCCTGAGTCTCCTGCTTTGCAGCGATATCGTCGCTGGGATGGTGAACAAAAGATTTCAGCCTTGAACCAACGCACATGTCGCTGGGTTGCGATGCCCTCGATGCCCTGTATGTCGACGATCCGAGAATACAGCAGTTGAAACTGGTGCGTACGCAAAACGTGTAGCGCTGTAGCGTCGTAACAGTTGCATTCTTTTTGGGAAGAACAGGCAACATTTATTTGGCCCATATTTCCAAAGACTTTGTGCCCTAATGTGCAACAGTCTCTCTGATCCTTTACCTGTTTGGACATGGTTTTTGGTTGCCAAGACAGTGACATCCTCATTTTCTTCTCTTTCCGATTCGTATCCTCGTGCATTTGGACTCTGTTCCTCGTGTGGCCATGGCGGCTGTGGGAGGCATGCCTGAAGTGCGTCAGGCGAGGCGTGCGCATGCGGGGTGAAGGGTGGAAGAGCACATCTCAGATGCGGGTCACAGGTACCCTCCATCAGTCACTATGACTGTTGACCCTCCGTTCCGTGCGTTCGGTGTTCTTCTTCACCTGTCAGGGTACCTGTCAGGGTACCTGTCGGGTCCCAAAGCAGCCGAAGCTTGGAGGGCCCTGGTTGAAGATGGTTGAAGGGGTGTCTGTCAAGGAGATGGTTTTCTCAAGGCATCCGACGCAATCCGACCTCCGGAGCATCCTTGCTGGGCTTAACGATGCTTCAGTGGTCACCATGCTGCAGGTGTCCTTGGACAGGTGTCAAGCAGACCCCCCATGGGTCTGATCTGGAAGGATCTGGATGGAGGTCTGGAGGAAGGATTGGGTCTTCCAACCCATTCAGTATTGAATTGGTTCTTGTTCTTGCCCCCACAATCATATTTTATACCATTTTTTTGGTACCATATTTTTACGTTTTACACCTAACTGCCAGGTCTTCTTCCATCCTTTTTGGGATCATGTCCGTTTCGGCGAACATGGCCACGGTCCATCACTTCGGCCTCCCTGGAAGTGGTGGTCACCAAATGTATTCCGGAACTTGCTGGAACTCAGGTCAGATCTATCAGTTTTCGACTCACTCCCAGGAAAGCCAGGATCTTTTCGTGCATGGGCACGCGAATAGAAGATCATAGACGTAATATGATCATATTCCCCGATGGGTTTCAAGTAGCTTCGTTTTGATGTGGTTGGCTTGAGGAGGCTTTGTTCCGTTCGCTGACAGAGAAGCTACAACTCGAGAGTTCCATTCTGTTTGCATTGGAGCTTCAGCAGAGCCACGATGTCCCGCCACGATGTCCCGCGCTCCAAACGCTGTCCCGCTTCCCCCCCCGATGGAGCTTACGCCCCAAACGCTGTCCGCGGTCACAGGGCTTCATGGTGAACCTGTCGGCGATCACCGGGAGCCAAACCTGGCTCGACATCACCGGGCCGGCGGAAGCCATCCGTGCCGTGGGCGCCGTTGGTTGGGAGTGGGTTCAGATCCCAGGTCCGCCGGTGATTAAGGAAACAGCTGTTAGTCGTTCGGTCTATGGTACAAGTGGAACCACTGGCTATACCGGCTATATAGTCCCTAGAAGTCCAAAGACTATATTTTGACCGGCTGAAGTAAAGGAACTTCCCTTTCAGGTCCCTTAAAGACCATTCTTTTTATAGTCTTTGACTCCCAGGGTAGTGCTATATATACCATGTGCACGGTAACTGGATGCCCTGGCCGAGTTGCTTTGTTGTTGGCGCACGGGGTTCATGGGGACGGTCGAACTGTCGGTCGGGCCGTTCCGTCGGGACGGTCGCCGTGCGCTGTTGCAAAGCATTGCTGTTGCGCTGTTGTCCCGCGTTGTAGCTCACATCCAGCATCCTTCGCCCATGGCATGGACACCGTTTGATCACGCCGATGGTCAGCATTGCTAGGAAAAAGGGCGAAAGGATTCGCTTGGAAGTTTTACCGGAGATGAAAGGCAAAGAGCTTAAACAGCTGATCAAAGAAGGGCAACATCGGAGTGGAGATTGTTGTCGGAGACAGGTTGCTGGGAAATGATGAGAAGGTGTCGGATGCAGGGCTAGCAGATTTGGTCGTGAATGTGGTCTTCAAGCCAAACACCGTGAGCTGCTCCAGCAAAGATGCTCTTGCAAGCTTTACGCGTTATATTGACCCAGACGTACTTTGGTTCGTGGTTGAAATCCCTGATGGTGACACTCGAATTGCTGATGATTAATGATGCCTTCCGAAACTGCGATGGCTTGGCCAAAGTAGTCGCACCGAACTCAGTGACCCACATTGGAGACTGTGCCTTTCAGGATTGCAGCTCTTTGGTGAGATTGACAATCCCAAACTCAGTGACCCACATTGGGGACTATGCCTTTCAGTTTTGCAGCTCCTTAGTGAACTTGACCATGCCAGACTCAGTGGCCCGAATTGGAAATTGTGCCCTTGCAAATAGATCCTTGGTGAGCTTGAACATCCCGGACCCCATGACCCACTTTAAGAAGGGTACGTTTGCTGGTTGCAATCCTTTGGTGCTGAGGAAGTCCAAATCTGGGACTCCAGATTTGGGAAGAACGCCTTGAAAGGCTGCCAAAAGACGGTGTGTAGCTGAGGGGAAATCGTTGAGCGATCTCTTTTAGGGCCTTAGGGTAGGATGGGTATAAGTGGCTCACTCGGGTATCAATCCGAAGCAAATCGACGCAGTTTTTTGATGGTACAGATCCCCACCACATCCGGTATGCGGAAAAAACCGTTGATGACTCGGTTCCACGCGAGGAGAAGTTAGGGGTCGGTCGTTTTCAGCTGCGTGGCTCCGGAATTCTCGAGGTAGAGACCATCTCGTCACGAAGTAAACCTGAGGTTGAGAACTTCCTGCAAAAGGTCAGCAAAAGATACTCCCTGGAACGCTCCCCATGGGACTCCGTGGATGGAATAAAAGACCGAGTTGGGGTTCCGACCATGTTCAATCCACTCAAACACGGAAGTGATGCCATCCACGTAACCATGTTAATTCCAGGGAGAGTAATGTCATTTGGACTTCTGCTGGCATGTTCTGCTTCTGCTTCCCCCTCCCCCTCCTCCTCCTCCTTTTCCTTGATCTTCTTCTAGATGCTTGGAAGCCTTTAAATTACATGTACAGTTTTCGTTTTTCGGGCCAGATTCTGCTGACTGATCTCCCCACCACAGGGACGAACCATCCACGCTTCTCGTTCTTTGGCGCCATCGTCATCGTCCCAGACATCGAACGGTCGACGAAGGTGTGGGTGGAAGAAGGTTTTGTCTAGACCTGACTGCACCCTAGACTTCCGTTCGACCATTCAAAACAATGGGAACGACCTGGTTTTTGTAGTGTAAAACCCGTTGATTCAGGATTCAGCCTATTAATGGTGGGTGGAAGCCTAGGGTGCATAAAGCGTGTAAAATTAAAACGTTCCCCTACAAGTCCAAGGGCCAAGTTAAACCTGGTCCTTGACCTGATTGAGTACTGGTTTTGTATGACCGGATCCAGTCAAATGAGGTCCTTGACCTGTAGGGTTCTCTCTTTCGGAAGAACAACCCGACCGACCCGACCTGTAAGTCGGTCACCACATGTCCCATGACCCAACGCGTGTCGTGAGTCACGGTCGTGGGTCGCGCGGCGCCTAGGCAGCGACAAGTGGCGCTTGCTCTATGCCTGCATCATCATCGACTTGATTGGATGCCTGGAGTGGAGGAAGGTGCACCATGGGTCGAAGTGCCGCAAGCCGAGCGAACAAAAGACCCTTCACGTACTCCAAAACATACAATGCCCTTTTTGATCCTTTTTGAATGTTTTTGGGTTTGCCGTGGGCTTCGGACCTGGAAGAAGGTCCGCCCTCGTCCAATCCAGATCGCGAGTTCACGTGCGACCTTCACGACGTCCGAGGAATGGCCAGCTATTTGATTTTCCTCATCGGCGAGGCAGACAGCGACCACCCCAAAACCCCACCCCCCAAAAAACATCAAACATCACCATCCCCAGACACTCCATGTCTGCTATATATGCCGCCCCTGACAGACCCCTCTGGCACCAGCCCTGGCCGTTTCTCGGCAGTCACTGGCAGTCTCATGGGTCGTGTCTGGGATCAGACATGAACCACTCCCCGAAACTCCATCAAAGCCCACGGTTTAACCTTCGCCCCTTGGGTGACACCAGAGTCAACGGGTCAACGGGTTAACGGCGAGACGAGAGAGATCTACGGTCAGCGCTGGGCTCGGCGAGGCATCGGGGTCTGACTGAATTGGGGAGCGGTTGGAGCAAGAAGAGCTCGTCTGACGAAGTGGCAGGTCTCCAGGAACCTGCTGAAGCTGGCAGGACCCTGGCTGCCACCGTCTCTAGGGAGACACACTATACCAGCACCTTCCAACAGGTCTCCGAAATGGAGGCTTTTGTAGACTTAAAAGTCGCAGGTGGTGACCTGTTGGAAGGTCCTGGTAGAGATGGTTCCTTAACCCCCTTCTTCTGATCATCCTTGTATCGCATCGTCCTCTCTGGACGAGTCGTCGCCTCGGTCGGTTGGTCAGTCACAGGGCCCGGAAGTGACACAGCTCGGTCGCCCAGAAGAAGTCCAGTTTGGACCGGTTCAGAGGTTCTTCGTTCGATGGCGCAGGCTACCCCAAGTTGGTTGGTTGCCTGTCTAAGACACGGCCTGGGGATCGGGGATCGTAGGGGTGCCAGGCACTGTACTCTCTCTCACCTCTGAAAGCACTGTACTATCATAGACAGGCACTTAGAAGATATATAGAATCTTGAACATTTATGACAATTGAAGAATTAACATTACTATATCGTCAACTTATTGGACCCGGAGTTAGAATATGGGAGTAGGCAGTCCAGTTATATAGAATATAGGAAACCACTCAGGTAGAGTTCCAGGATTGAGTTGCACCCTACTTGTGTACTGGTTTGTGCCTCCTTGGTGAACTTGTGGCCGTGGCTTTTGAAACTAATAATCGTATATTACTGCATGTTACTTTGCTCTAAGTTCTTGCTGGTTGCACTTGCGTTTGCTGTTGATGTTTGTTGTTGTTGTTGTTGCTGCTGCTGTTGTTGTTGTTGTTGTTGTTGCTGTTCTGGTATATTTTAACTGTAGGTATAATATATATTGTCTCCATAAGCAAACAAGATATAAAGTTTCTATATTCTAACTGTATCACAAAGAATTTATGTAGATTCTAACTGCTCGTCTTTTAGTGTACCTTGACCCGACTGATCCAGTACCTTGGAAAATGGGACATGACCCAAACAAAAAACAGGTGTGACTACGAACTGAGACTCCAGGTCTTTTGGAACCCACTGAAGTTGAAGTGTTCGAACGGACCATTCCTGGACTTCCGGACTGTCACCGAGCTCGCCACGGACTCTTTCTCTTCCTCTTCGACTGTGAGTTGGAAGCTTTTGCAGGGGCTCCCACTCCCCATGGAACACTTCTCTCACCCCCCCACTAGCACTGACTTCCGTGCGTTTTGCGCACCCCGCCGTGGATCCGTGCGGGTCGCGGTTCTGTGGAGGTTGGAGATTTGATGTGGGCGCCCATCGCCGGGTTCTTGCTGCAGCCTGGGGGCCTGGGCCCACCTGGCGGGACTGGGATTGAGGGTCTTGGTCCAATGGCCAACCAGCAGAGGTGGGCCAGCACCCGAACGTTCGACTATCCCAGTAGGGTACCCCAGGTAGTTCCGGGTCCTAGTTCAGGTCACTGGCTACCTCTCTTGGAAGGAGGCTTCTTCGAAGAAATGGAGGGCCAAATTGCCCCAAAAAGGACGGCCTTCGACGTGGATGAAGATCGAGGATTCCAGGCCTTCTACTTCATGGGCAGCAGAAGTGAGGGTTGTGACAGCTCACTCTGTGGATCCAGAGTCTCTGCGCTTCTTCGGCCTCTCTGCGCTTCTTCGGCCTCTCTCTGCTCTGGACTCTATGGTGTGGTGAAAAATACCGCTCACTCTGTGTGGCTCCTCATCCTATACAGCTCACTCATGTCAGGAAGTACCCAGACACGACCTGTCTGGGTCTGCCAGTCCGTTCTGCCGCCCCAGAGTCTGACCTGTCTGGCACCACCCCATCGGCCGTGAAATGAAGGCAGTCCTATCTTCCAGTCCCAGGTCCGGGTCGCGTGGACCTGCGGATGTTGGACACGGAGGTGTCACCGACGGCTGTGGCCCTTCTTCGGCAGCCGGTGGCTCGGGGACTCTCCCCAGGTGGCGCCGAAGAGCACGCTGCGTGAAGAGCACACCTTCTTCCCCCCCCGGTGTTGACACCTCCAGCCGTTCCCCAATCGGATCCCGCACACCCCAGGCGCGGCGACTCGCGACGCGGCGACGAGTTCTGCTGCGTCTCGAGGATGACCCCGCAAAGCACCCCAAGGTGGGCAAATATGTGGCATACATGGAGTGTTTGGGTTCAGTTCAATGGGGGGTGATTGGCTGATGCAGAGATCAGCCGAGAAGCCTTGGGAGATCAGGGAAGCTACCCATCAATGTGAAGATCCAGCAATCTGAGCGCATTCCTTGAATTGGGCCAATCGACAAGGAGCCTTCGGAGAATTTCTTCGCCCTCCAAGTTGGGGCGCGCTTCTTTCATCACGTCCAAAACCAACCTGTAGACGTAGACCATGTGAATGAATAAGAAGCTTTCTCGAAGACGTTTTCCATCGTTTTTTTTCGCACCTCTGCAATAATTGTTTTCCAGATGTTTCTTGCACCTTCTGTTCGGGTCACCTGGCTGGCAGGCTGCAGGCCCCAGCCCGCTAGCTACTTAGGGATCTCCATTCAACACCCCTTGAAGGTCCAGGTATTCATGGTTTCACATCTTCCAAGAGAGGTTGAGAGACCTGAACTAGGACGCTGGTCTGTGGTACATATGGGATGGGCGACCAGACGGGCTGTTCAACCTCTCCAGGTTCTCTCCTCTCCTGAACTTGCCATTCCCCTAGAAGTCCAAAGACTATATTTTGACTGACTGAAGTAAAGGACATTCCTCTTCGTGTCACCTAAAGACTATTCTTTTTATAGTCTTTGACTCCCAGGGATTCCCTTCCCTTTTCCTTTGCTCTCTTCTCCTGTTTCTCGTTCCTTCAAGCTTCCACTCGCTCTGAAATTGAGACGTTTTCGGTCCCAAAATCTCCCGTTTTCTCCTTCCACAAGTCTCAACCGATCCTCAACTCTATATAGGAAGATGTCCTCAAGCGCCCGTTTTTGCATGTGTTTGCCTCTCTT